GGAATATCTAAGTGGCATTGGAAGAAAACGGTATGCTTCATACTAGCCAGTGTAACATAACCCACTCTTTTTAAACACCCAACTAAAAGACGTATGTAATACGAACCACTCCGGTTTAGGAAAGTTTTTCACTATCAAACGAAAAAGGTATAGGTGGAAGGAGGAAAGACATCCGCTGAGAAGTCATTTATTGGCGGACGCGAACTAAGCAGTTACAAGTCACCAGACCGAAAAGTAAGCAACCCATGTGCACATGGTCTTTAAAAACGGAGCATTCTCACGCGCCGTCTAGAACTTTTCTGAATATTCAGTGACCAATACACCATAGTAATAGAACACTGCAAAGCAGTTCCACAATTTTCTCCATAGAATTCACTCTCCATCAAGGCGCGGTGCGGAGCTTGGTCAATAACCACAGGCTACTCGCACGGTTTATCCATTGTTACATCACTGATGGATGTCGGCCACAGTACAACCTACCTCAAAGGACAAGTTCCATAAGCTACAACTTTCAGATCCCGTGGCATCGCACCCATCTCACTGTATCTTAGCCTCCACAAAGACTCTTTGGAAACTTAACTGTACAAGCAAGAGAAACTTCCTAGTAGTTACCCAAAAATAAACAGAACACGTCCATAGAATACTTGTGATTTCCCGGGATAAGGCAAAACTTGAATAATGTCTGACAAATTGAAAGACTTACTGGAGAATATGCCCAACAAGAGACAAACAGCGACTGTACATGCAATGAACATAGCACACAGCAAATCCAACCGAACGGATAACCAACGTGCAGCTGCAATATTCATGAAGAAGATGCTTGTGTGTTCATCGACCAAGTCGTTGTAAGTACGTATTTGGTATTCTTCGCACCTAGCTGCTCGAATGCACGGCAGGCCTTGAAGAGTGATATTCACCCAAGAAAAAACGGGACTCCTTGCTGTGAACGATGAAAGGAAAGCAAATAAGATGTGTTTTCCTCGGGTGGCGCAAAGTAGAAACACGGACCCCGTAAAACTTTGTTCGAAAGACAAACACCGTGAAAGATTAAACGGCAACGGGCCATGCTGTCAACAAGATTCAGAAGGTGCCTCGCTCGTGTCCTCCTTAGTGGTGTCATTTACAACTGCCAAAATGGGCAGAAATAAAGCAAAATCGCCTTGAGATGGATCCTCAGACAGCAGAAAGCGAAACAATAATATGCACAATCTAACGAAGTACCTCCGCAACGAACTGGCTGTCAAATACTCTGCACTGCTCTCCGAGCATCTCTTTTCTAAGAGTACAACCGGTGACTGTTTGAGAAAAACGTTTGCAAGGCGATCAACGTAACCAATAGAAGCGAATTCGGTTTTTGTAACCTAGCAAGAGATGAAACACGGCTACCTAAACATCAAAAGAAGCCAATTATACCAGTCACAATGTTGATTTGGATCAAATAACGAACTCGTTTTTCATTGCTTTTCCATTTTTAACCTACAAATAGAGATGTTGAAGCGACCCTAATCCGTTCGTATTCAATTGAGTAACAATGTATCCCTCTGTGATTGACGGAGTTATCTTACATCCCTGGGAATCACTTGATGCAGTGATATTGGTCATCCGTCCAATTACTCGAATCATTCGATTCGTGCACAGAAACTTGAATTGGTAATCTCCAGATGTATGGGACAGCTTAACCAAGTGTTTGGCTATCCCATATATATATATATATATATATATATATATATATATATATATATAAACACAGAGAAACAAACAGAANATATATATATATATATATATATATATAATCACCGTGAACCAAACAGTTAAAACAAAGACAGTATGTAACAGACAAAACTGGATGGACCATTCGACTTTAGGCAGGTCGAAATAAAGGTCATATAGCAATCTTCTTCAGTGTACATTTGTGGCGGCCGCAGGTTAGTAATTCTAGAGACCAGTACGACAGAATCGTCGTCAGCAGTCTGAAGATATGATGAATACTTGGACGAGGCGATTAGTTTTCCACGACCACGTGAATCACAGAGAACCAACACTCATCGGTAGGAGAGATGGAGTAGGTACAGCTATAAGTTGTGCCCACGGATTTGATGAGGTGAGAGGGCACTCCCGAGTCAGCGGGTGTTCGGGATGTGACGCGTTAAAACAAAACATCACGTTGAATATATTCACAAATGTGCAATGACACCTGTGCAGCCAAAGTGACGGAACTTCACAACTTTACTAAACGGTCTTCAATGCAAATCGCTATCCGGCTACTCAATGTAAATATATTTTGGGTTTTGAAAACGAATATTCTTAATTATTTTGCTTAAAGTGTTGCTCATCTCCAGTTTGACTGTACATATGATTATCTACTCCCACTATGGATAATGGACGACAATTCCGGCATTTTGAATGACAGTCCAAGAGGTTTGTGAGATAGTCTATGCGATACACATCCGGTTTATGTACATCGTAAATCAGAGTTGAATTTGTGACTCGTTCAAATTTCACATTCACACACTGATTTGCTATGCAAACGAGTTGTACACGCAATACAGGTAGCAACCGGCCCCTGGGTAAGATTAAAAAAATTGAGGAAAACTCAGGGACCGCATTTGCCTAGTAGGCTATCAGCGAAATTGTATGCAAATGAATGCTTCGTTCAACAGATGAACATCGTTTTTCATGCATAATGACTATGAAGAGGTGGGCTTGCTCTGGTTCAATTTTCTATGGTATGTCAGCCAAATCGACAGCAACAGGCACTTTAATTTTGCACCTCACAAAGTTATTTTCGTCACAAGAAACATCATTGCCTGTAAGCGGAATGTGTGGATTAATGCATTGGATTACTGATAAATCGAGATTAAAGCTCACCTGAGCGTACACTATGACCATAATGAGAGCATGCAGGCTATTATGTGAATAGGATATGAAGCTGAGGGTGACCGCTAACAAGGTATAGCGGTGCACTACCGAGCACGACAGTCACGGAAGTTCGGATATGATAGCTATTACCAAATCTCTACTCTCAAGACAGGGATGTGGATATTGAACATTTCATGAATTCCCCTGTGTGGTTGTCCATAAATCTTTCAGGCAACGCATTCCATTTTGCAGTTTGAATTGACCGACAACAGAGGTGTTGTGTAGGGTGGTCGTCATTAAAACGTGTTCCACGAACTTGCATCGTCAAAGTTCATATGGCAAAATCAAGTCCAAAGCATCCAAGAGATCCAAATACTGCATTCTGCTGAGTGTTTTAGTAGGTTTTTCCACTAAAAATAATATTCAGCTCGCAACAGGAAATCCAAACCTGAATTCACAAAATTTGCTCATAAAATACAAACTCATTGTGTAACAGATGTGCATTCAAATAGTGTGTTGTCAAAAATGTCTGATTGCTTCCCTTGGAATACAAGGCAAGGTGAGAGCTTGCTCTCGAATGAGCCCTAAACTACCCAAGCTGAGCACTTTAAACAGTACGCATTGAAAAACAGAGTTCCAATGGCAACAATAATATTGCACGACGTGCATAACAAATAAATAGGGTAAAAGTAATCAAAATTCAAATGTTGATACGTGGATACCAGAGCATTTAAACTGCACTTTCTCTGTCCAGTACAGGCATATCTCATGGTCTTTGACAACATAAGGGAAAGTATCACTTATAGACTTGAAATGCTGTATAAATGAGGTTTTTGACAAGGTTGAGTTAAGTCAGCCTATGCGACGAAATTCAATGGCTATATGACCTACAGACTACACACAATCCTCACCGCAGAAACGATAATTATCAATTTATCAAGTCATGGGCTCCAAGTTCTGCACGTGATAGTCCCAGGACCGACCGGCTCTGGTTTACGGGTAAGCACAGTCCGCGAGTGCGCTCTAATGGAATATAATATACACGCCAAGTCACAGCAGAGCTGTGTAAAGGCAACTTGAGAATACTTGAGAGGGAGGAAGGGTTTCAGCGACGTGGTATCCTAATCGCAAATTCTTGCCAAAGACTTTTCTATCAAAACACCTTTTGTGGTCGATTTATGGGGGCCATTCTCAAACAATGAGATGGATACACACCTTAAGATGCGGGCCAATCAGGACGATATAAAACAACGAACTCACCCACAGATTCCATTCGTTTCAGATCCCTGGAAGCGCGCAAGTAGTATTTTCGTGTGAGGTAGAACAAAACTAGGAGTGGAGCAGTGGGAATTATCAGCCAGTAGCTCGAAATAATCGTCACCACACCCGAGCTGATCACCAGGAAGAAACACTGGAGAATGAAACGAATAAGCTGGATTATGAATTAAAGCAAGTCAAACTGGAAGATGATGAGAATTAGGCGAAACACCTAGTTGCGATGGGACTACCGGAGTTTGAAAAGAAACCCCAGGAACAAATGCATAGCGCTTTTAAGAAGTGCTTCAAAGCATGCATAGAAATGCTAAAAAAGCAAACAGAATGAACACATGGCTAAGTAAATGTGCATTTTAACCCTAGAGTAAATCCTCAAAGATGCGTTCATCTTCACAATTTACAAGTCAGGTCGGTTCATCACATCGCCAAAAGTTCCTGATTGTTTTTCACAGGTTCATGAGGCTGTCTGTGATAAGTACCTGTTTTTGTTCTTCCATCTTTCCACTCTTCATTAGGAATGACAGTTGAGCACCAGTATTTATTACTGGTGTATTGCTTTGGATGATATTAGTGATCCTCAAGAGTATTGAATCTAGAGCAGGGGAATATCATTTATGTATGACAGCCTTCTTACTTCCATTGTGCAACAGTTTTTTCAACTGTTTTTACTATTGAACTATGAACACTAACCAAGGAAAACATCATCACCAAAGAAATATCGCTCAAGTGTACGACACTCCAAATAAGGTCACTGAGTGAATGTGAACGTACAGGCTTTATACCACGAACCTTTCGGGAGGGGGAATGGATTTGATGCTACGTGTAAACGGTTACAGAGACCCCAGGAGATGATACCGGAAAGCCAGAAAGATGAAGTAAGTTAGTGATCAGAAGCTGGATACGAATGATAAGTTCACAAAATGTATCAGTTCTGGCTAACTGAACCGAGATACTGACAATCTTGCGACTTCGACAAGTTACTACACAGTGCCGCAACACATCATCCAAAAGAACATTGGTAACACTGCCTTCGTAATTCAGGTCAAGCGAACGTCCCGAAATTGCGCCCGTAGTCTAATGTACCGTCCACAGTAAACTTCCTCACTTAGTGCAAAATCCACCAAGGATAAAGGTCATCAAGCTTCTTCCACATGGTAACCTCTCTTCGAAAGAATGCTGAATAACACAGCCGTTAAGTCCACAGTCAAACCGAGAAAGGTATAGAACTGTCCCAATTAGTTCGAAATCGTGAAACTGACGGAGGCTACGCAGCAAACAGGTAACAACCTCTGAGGAACTATTCCATCGACAGCCCAGCTTCTGTTCTCCATAATTTCAGTTGTCTGGTTGGTGACCGCTGAAAGGTTCTGCTTACTTACAAGGTAGTTATCCACTGAAAATGTTTTAACCATTCAAGAAAGCTATGGTATTGTCTGAAACGTGGTGGCAACGATTCACTTTTTTAAAAAAAAGATTGTGATTTAACTCCAAGATCTCAATACAGTAAATGAGTATTTCGGTCGGACTCAATCCAGAGTTGGTCTGAATTCCTACAAAATAATAGGAGTTACGTCCACTGACAAGAGAAAACCCAATGTTGGTCACAAAACATTTAGAAATTTCTAACTCACCTGAAGAAAATCATGTATTGTTACAGGCAAATAATCATCAACCTGACCGATGTCTTTGGAAAACCGGTTAAGTATACGACCTAAAAGTGAAGACAAGAAGAATCTGTTTTTGTGGCGCTGCATTCAGTTATATCCAATCAAGAGCAATGTGCAGTTAGCTGCACCTTGTAAGGTAAGTTTTGGGGTGGGTCACACCCAACACGTGGTTTCAGGATGGAATAGTTTTACAAACATTCTAAGACTGCTGTGGAAGACATATGAAGTTGCCCAAGACAAATGTTCAATAAGTTTTCTCTCTCTACTGAGATATCAATAACACCATGCGTCAACTTCGTGCTAGAGAGGTATTAGATGTGAAAGATATCAGAGGTTGACTATTATCAACACCCGGATGATTCGCACAGCCATACATAAGTCTTTCTTTGTCCATTGCAGCCAAGTGTATCAGAATCGCATTAAAGTCGGCCTTACCAGTCTAATCAGCATTTTTGACTATCTGGAGGATTTTTACTTTGTCTAGAATACTGATGACATTCTTGACATGAATTGCACTATACGAAGGAGATCATCATCATCATTGTCCGTTGTAATAACCGAAATCAGAAAGCTATATCTAATGACTGGATCACAGAACTGCTGAATATCATCCATTAAGTCTGAGTAGTCCGTCGAAGAGCCGACGTAGACTGCGATCACTCATACAGAGCGTACAACGTCATGGGACTCCGAAGTTGGGGGACCGAACATAGTAGTTGAATCTAGTCCTCCTTTATCGATCCAGCCTGCAACGCCTTAAGAGCTTAAGTGATGGCTGTAAGCCACTTTATGATGTAACCTCCACTATACAATTGTATTGGGAGGGGACTACGTGTCTCATACAGCGAGGCGCCTCTACATGGTCTTTCCTCCAAAGTGTGCACTCCGTCAGTCAAATATCGATGGAAAGCAAATCTCGAACGATGTTGATGAACTGCTATCCAGGAACCTAGGAATTTGCACCAGCCAAAATCCAATTATACATCAAAACTCAGACCAGCAAAATCTCGAAGGAGATCATGGTATCATAGCATAAACACAAAGGTCTAAAACTAAAAAGTCATTCTTATTGGGCATAGCAGTCAAAGAACGATCAACTTCCTGTACAGACTTGAGTGAAGGAAGAAGTACCAAGATGCTAGTAACTCACCTGAAGTGTTGCTCTCGAAGAACAGTAGACGCGTTTGCAAACAAGCGCGCAACATTCTATCATGTAATCGTTTTGAGGAATTAAGTAATACCTAGTGGAAAAAAGAAGTTTTCAGCGACCGAAAGACGGATCGAACTTATATACAAACACTAGAGCCGTTACATGACAAAATATCTGCCAACAGTATTTGACAGTATTTGAGAGTAAGGCATCCTGAAAACATCCCAGACGGGAGATTTAGCTGGGCTTCAAGTGAGTCCCGAGTGAAAAAACAAATTAGTATGCAAATGAGTGCAGCTGTCCGATTTGGTGCACTTCGCCTTCAGGTTGAACATAAAGTTGACGGAATCTCGGGGACTGAGCCCACCTGATGGACCTCAAGTAGGACAAAGCCAGAGACATGGGTCGTCGTAGGGCGTCACAAATTATTGTCCCAAATCATTATGAAAACCACTCCTCATGAACCTCGCAATTATTGGCAAATGGACTACACATAAATGGACGATAGCAAATGGTTGGACTGCTCATACCATGCCTTTATGTAATTGCTGCAACCTGCTCCCAAGAGTATTCGCACCATAGGACAATCATCCCCCCGAAAAGAACCCACTGACGGCTTTGCCAGCGGTAATTCAGTGTGAAATTCCTGCAGAGAGATACCACCCATAAGAAAAGTCGAAATGCCCTTACCCCGGTGTCTTGTCCTCAGGGTGAATATCACTGACCTCCTCCTCAAGGGGGATTCCATCTTCACTATCAAAACTTCTTCTGAATAACTCCGACTTGCCTCTTTGATCGATAAGCTCCACCCTTAATAGAAATATCAACAAGTAGTCTCCGCTTACACAGTACGTAGGGAATGGGGATGAGCGAATCTCAAAAGTTGAAACAGATTCCTTCGTAAACTTGGAGGAAAAGCGGTCTCTAATAGATAACATGATCCAGGGAGTGACGGCACATCAAACTACAGGCAAGCATGAGAGAAACGCACAAAATTAGGCGCGGATTTGCTGAGTTGGGACGTGATCACTTCTGATCATACCAAGTGTCTCACATTGGACAATTTTCCACTGTAAATTACAGAAACGTGTAAGAAGGTTGCATGACACTCACATCATTACACCCAATGTTGTCTCATTTATAGTGTACTACTAGAAATATATTATTGTATAGTATAAACCAAGAAAATTTCACCCATTTTCCGTTAACTTAATCTACACAGCAGTGAATCTATGCTGTACGGTTATTTCATCCCTGTTAGGAAGCATCAGTTTTGCACTTCGCACAAATATCAGAGGAGATCCGAACCGGTAACAAACAATTGCACCATTCAAACACAGCATTGATGCGATCGTCGACGGTGATCAACTGAAATTTATACATCACGATACTCTAGTCCATTGTCAATCGCGCGATATGCCCCATGTGATTACGTGCTGCTTGCTTTCTCGAGTACTGGCTTCTCATAAGGAATGCCCACGAGACTTGTGAGTTGTTCTATCCCTAACAGATGACTCCCCAAGGACTGCTCCCCAGGGGACGAGATGTCCCAAGTGGGTAGAGCGCGAACTCACTGACCGAAAGGTCACGAGACTTGTTGTTCTATCCCTAACAGATGACTCCCCAAGGACTGCTCCCCAGGGGACGAGATGTCCCAAGTGGGTAGAGCGCGAACTCACTCACCGAAAGGTTCGTGGTTCGAACCTGACCTCTGCCTCTCGACTTCCCCTGTCTAGGCCTGGGCAACCTGGCGGTATCCTAGCCCTCGTGCTTCCTCCAGGTGGCATGGCAGCTAGGCACCGGGTCTTACAGCTGAACGATCGTATTATTATTATTATTATTATTATTATTATTATTATTATTATTATTATGAAGGAGATTATGGAATAAAAAGATCCGATTTTGAAAAAAAAGTCGGTATATGCTGAAAATCTTAGAATCGCTATAGAGCTGGCACATCCTTGCTGGAAATCACCGGCGGCGCGAATTTCACAAATTTCCTTTTGTGTGAACTGAGCTTTTGACAAAAGCGGTGAAGAAGTAAACCAAGCTGTTCCACAAAGCTGAGCTTCTCACGTTGAGCTTAACCAGCTGTATA